ACTCCCTACCCCACTCCCTACTCCACTCCCTACTCCACTCCCTACCCCACTCCCTACCCCACTCCCTACCCCACTCCCTACCCCACTCCCTACCCCACTCCCTACTCCACTCCCTACTCCACTCCCTGCCCCACTCCCTACCCCACTCCCTACCCCACTCCCTACCCCACTCCCTACTCCACTCCCTACCCCACTCCCTACCCCACTCCCTACCCCACTCCCTACTCCACTCCCTACTCCACTCCCTGCCCCACTCCCTACCCCACTCCCTACCCCACTCCCTACTCCACTCCCTACTCCACTCCCTACCCCACTCCCTACCCCACTCCCTACCCCACTCCCTACCCCACTCCCTACCCCACTCCCTACTCCACTCCCTACCCCACTCCCTGCCCCACTCCCTACCCCACTCCCTACCCCACTCCCTACCCCACTCCCTACCCCACTCCCTACTCCACTCCCTACCCCACTCCCTACCCCACTCCCTACTCCACTCCCTACCCCACTCCCTACCCCACTCCCTACCCCACTCCCTACCCCACTCCCTACCCCACTCCCTGCCCCACTCCCTGCCCCACTCCCTACCCCACTCCCTACCCCACTCCCTACCCCACTCCCTACCCCACTCCCTACCCCACTCCCTACCCCACTCCCTACCCCACTCCCTACCCCACTCCCTACCCCACTCCCTACCCCACTCCCTACCCCACTCCCTACCCCACTCCCTACCCCACTCCCTACCCCACTCCCTGCCCCACTCCCTACCCCACTCCCTACTCCACTCCCTACCCCACTCCCTACCCCACTCCCTACCCCACTCCCTACCCCACTCCCTACCCCACTCCCTGCCCCACTCCCTACTCCACTCCCTACCCCACTCCCTACCCCACTCCCTACTCCACTCCCTACCCCACTCCCTACCCCACTCCCTACCCCACTCCCTACCCCACTCCCTACCCCACTCCCTACTCCACTCCCTACCCCACTCCCTGCCCCACTCCCTACCCCACTCCCTACTCCACTCCCTACCCCACTCCCTACCCCACTCCCTACCCCACTCCCTACCCCACTCCCTACCCCACTCCCTACTCCACTCCCTACTCCACTCCCTACCCCACTCCCTGCCCCACTCCCTACCCCACTCCCTACTCCACTCCCTACCCCACTCCCTACCCCACTCCCTACCCCACTCCCTACCCCACTCCCTGCCCCACTCCCTGCCCCACTCCCTACCCCACTCCCTACCCCACTCCCTACCCCACTCCCTACTCCACTCCCTACCCCACTCCCTACCCCACTCCCTACCCCACTCCCTACCCCACTCCCTACCCCACTCCCTGCCCCACTCCCTACCCCACTCCCTACCCCACTCCCTACCCCACTCCCTACCCCACTCCCTACTCCACTCCCTACCCCACTCCCTACCCCACTCCCTACTCCACTCCCTACCCCACTCCCTACCCCACTCCCTACCCCACTCCCTACCCCACTCCTACCCACTCCCTGCCCCACTCCCTACCCCACTCCCTACCCCACTCCCTACCCCACTCCCTACCCCACTCCCTACCCCACTCCCTACCCCACTCCCTACCCCACTCCCTACCCCACTCCCTACCCCACTCCCTACCCCACTCCCTACCCCACTCCCTACTCCACTCCCTGCCCCACTCCCTGCCCCACTCCCTACCCCACTCCCTACCCCACTCCCTACCCCACTCCCTACCCCACTCCCTACCCCACTCCCTACCCCACTCCCTGCCCCACTCCCTGCTCCACTCCCTACCCCACTCCCTACCCCACTCCCTACTCCACTCCCTACTCCACTCCCTACCCCACTCCCTACCCCACTCCCTACCCCACTCCCTACCCCACTCCCTACCCCACTCCCTGCCCCACTCCCTACCCCACTCCCTACCCCACTCCCTACCCCACTCCTACTCCCCTACTCCACTCCCTACTCCACTCCCTACCCCACTCCCTACTCCACTCCCTACCCCACTCCCTACCCCACTCCCTACCCCACTCCCTACCCCACTCCCTACCCCACTCCCTGCCCCACTCCCTACCCCACTCCCTACCCCACTCCCTACCCCACTCCCTACCCCACTCCCTACCCCACTCCCTACCCCACTCCCTACCCCACTCCCTACCCCACTCCCTACCCCACTCCCTACCCCACTCCCTACTCCACTCCCTACTCCACTCCCTGCCCCACTCCCTACCCCACTCCCTACTCCACTCCCTACCCCACTCCCTACCCCACTCCCTACCCCACTCCCTACCCCACTCCCTACCCCACTCCCTGCCCCACTCCCTACTCCACTCCCTACCCCACTCCCTACCCCACTCCCTACCCCACTCCCTACCCCACTCCCTACCCCACTCCCTACCCCACTCCCTACCCCACTCCCTACCCCACTCCCTACCCCACTCCCTACCCCACTCCCTACCCCACTCCCTACCCCACTCCCTACCCCACTCCCTACCCACTCCCTACCCACTCCCTACCCCACTCCCTACTCCACTCCCTACCCACTCCCTGCCCCACTCCCTGCCCCACTCCCTACTCCACTCCCTACCCCACTCCCTACCCCACTCCCTACCCCACTCCCTACCCCACTCCCTACCCCACTCCCTACCCCACTCCCTGCCCCACTCCCTACTCCACTCCCTACCCCACTCCCTACCCCACTCCCTACCCCACTCCCTACCCCACTCCCTACTCCACTCCCTACCCCACTCCCTGCCCCACTCCCTACCCCACTCCCTACTCCACTCCCTACCCCACTCCCTACCCCACTCCCTACCCCACTCCCTACCCCACTCCCTACCCCACTCCCTGCCCCACTCCCTACTCCACTCCCTACCCCACTCCCTACCCACTCCCTACTCCACTCCCTACCCCACTCCCTACCCCACTCCCTACCCCACTCCCTACCCCACTCCCTACCCCACTCCCTGCCCCACTCCCTACCCCACTCCCTACCCCACTCCCTACCCCACTCCCTACCCCACTCCCTACTCCACTCCCTACCCCACTCCCCTACCCCACTCCCTACCCCACTCCCTACCCCACTCCCTACCCCACTCCCTACCCCACTCCCTACCCCACTCCCTACCCCACTCCCTACCCCACTCCCTACCCCACTCCCTACCCCACTCCCTACCCCACTCCCTACCCCACTCCCTACCCCACTACCCACTCCCTACCCCACTCCCTACCCCACTCCCTACCCCACTCCCTACCCCACTCCCTACCCCACTCCCTACCCCACTCCCTACCCCCACTCCCTACCCCACTCCCTACCCCACTCCCTACCCCCACTCCCTACCCCACTCCCTACCCCACTCCCTACCCCACTCCCTACCCCACTCCCTACCCCACTCCCTACCCCACTCCCTACCCCACTCCCTACCCCACTCCCTACCCCACTCCCTACCCACTCCCTACCCCACTCCCTACCCCACTCCCTACCCCACTCCCTACCCCACTCCCTACCCCACTCCCTACCCCACTCCCTACCCCTCCCTACCCCCACGCCCTACCCACACTTCCCCTACCCCCACTCCCTACCCACTCCCTCCACCCTCCCCCTCCTACCCCCACTCCCCTACCCCACTCCCTACCCCACTCCCTCCCCTCACTCCCCACCCCACTCCCCCACTCCCTACCCCACTCCCTACCCACTCCCACCCCACTCCCTACCCCACTCCCTCACCCCACTCCTACCCCACCCTCCCTACCCCCTACCCACTCCTACCCCACTCCCTACCCCACCTCCCTACCCCACTCCCTACCCCACTCCCTCCCCCCACTCCCTACCCCCCCTCCCTACCACTCCCTACCCCACTCCTACCCCACTCCCTACCCCACTCCCTACCCCCACTCCCTACCCCACTCCCTACCCACTCCCCTACCCCACTCCCACCCCTCCCTACCCCACTCCCTACCCCCCACACTCCCTACCCCACTCCCTACCCCACTCCCTCACCCCACTCCCTACCCCACTCCCTACCCCACTCCCTACCCCACTCCCTACCCCACTCCCTACCCCACTCCCTACTCCCACTCCCTACCCCACTCCCTACCCCACTCCCTACCCCACTCCTACCCCACTCCCTACCCCACTCCCTACCCCACTCCCTACCCCACTCCCTACCCCACTCCCTACCCCACTCCCTACCCCACTCCCTACCCCACTCCCTACCCCACTCCCTACCCCACTCCCTACCCCACTCCCTACCCCACTCCCTACCCCACTCCCTACCCCACTCCCTACCCCACTCCCTACCCCACTCCCTACCCCACTCCCTACCCCACTCCTACCCACTCCCTACCCCCACTCCCTACCCCCACTCCCTACCCCACTCCCTACCCCACTCCCTACCCCACTCCCCTACCCCACTCCCTACCCCACTCCCTACCCCACTCCCTACCCCACTCCCTACCCCACTCCCTACCCCACTCCCTACCCCACTCCCTACCCCACTCCCTACCCCACTCCCTACCCCACTCCCTACCCACTCCCTACCCCACTCCCTACCCCACTCCCTACCCCACTCCCTACCCCACTCCCTACCCCACTCCCTAGCCCCACTCCCTGCCCCACTCCCTACCCCACTCCCTACCCCACTCCCTACCCCACTCCCTGCCCCACTCCCTACCCCACGCCCTACCCCACTCCCTACCCCACTCCCTACCCCACTCCCTACCCCACTCCCTACCCCACTCCCTACCCCACTCCCTACCCCACTCCCTACCCCACGCCCTACCCCACTCCCTACCCCACTCCCTGCCCCACTCTTTCACGTAATCCACTCCTTGCCCGTCTTTATTTGCCCCCGCATCCTCCCATCCTTCCCCTCACTATTCCCCTTTCGGCCCCACTCCCCACACATCCCCCTTCCCCTTTCCCCCTTCCCCCTTCCCCCTTCCCCCTTCCCCCTTCCGCCCCAGCCCGTCCGCGCCAACCAACCCCTCCCCCCTGGAGCGCCGCCAGTCCTCCTCGCGGAACCCCAGCTGGAAGGCGGGCGCGGGCGGAAGCTCCAAGGGGGGCGGTGGCGGAGGAGGCGCGGAAGGCGCAGGGGGGCTGGGCGGGGGGAAGGGCGGAACGGATGAGGGCGCGGGGGCGGGCATGGGGAGGGCGGATAGCGCCCCAGAGGCATCCGCGTTTAGCGTCAGTCAGGATAGTAGCACAAGACCAACAGCAGAGGCAGCAGGCGGAGGGGGAGGTGGAGGGGCGGGGGGGGCTAGGGTTTCCGCCCAGGCCCCCGTTTCCCCAGGGCGGGGAGGAATTGACCTTCTGCGCTCCCCCACCTCCGCTGCCTCCCCTGGTGGCGGAAGCGACTCTCAGGGGGATTTATTGAACCAGCTGCTGCAGCAGAAGCAGCAGCAGATGCGCCAGCAGGGGGGGAGCGGGGGAGGGGGAGCAGGGGCGCTTGGGGGGAGCCAGCCGCGCCAGATGGGGGGGAAGCAGGCGCAGTCCAGCAGCAGTGGCGCGGGGATAGGCGCGGGGGGAAGTAGCAGCGGCGCTAAGGGCGGAAAGGGCGGAAAGGGCGGAATGTCTGTAGAGGAAAAGGTACTGGCGGAGTTAGTAGCTGCAGCAGCGGCAGGGAAGGGGAAGATGGGGGAGGCGTGGGGGTCTATTCTCGCCCAGGCGCAAGCAGACCTGGGGAACATCGAGCTCTCTGATTCGCTGGGCGCGGAAGGGGGCGGGCGCGGGGGGATGGGTGGCGGGGGAAACGCGGGGGGGGAGGATATGCAGGAGGGGAGTCGAGGGGTTGGGGAAGGGGATGGGGGAGGGGAGATGGAGGTGGATGGAAAAGGGAGAGGGGCAGGAGGGAGTGGTGGGGGAGTGTTAGAGGAGTCAGCTCAAAGCAGGCCGGGAACAGGACAAAGCCGGGGAGGGGGAGCAGCAGCAGCAGCAGGTGGAGGAGGAGGAGGCAGACAGGCCACCAGTGAGAACAACATATTCAATCTTCAAGCGAGTGCGGTGAATGATCTTTTAGAGGGGATAAACATTGCCGGATTCGGCCTGAATCTGGACACATTAGAGTTTGACACGTCAGAATCAGGCCAATCCAGCTCAGTATGCATGAGCCCTGCCACGGCAGCAGAAGTCACGGGCAGCAGAGCGAAAATCTCCTCCGCCATGAGCCCCGCGGGGGCAGCGGCGGCGGGCAGCAGCCAAAATCTTTTCGCGGGGATGACCTCTAGAAGTCTCAACTCGCTCTCTCTGAAGAAAAACACCCCGTTAGGAGCATCAGGTTCCCGTAGCAGCATAGACGCAAAAGGTGGGGGAGTGCCTCTAGGAGGGGTTTCCCTGGGAGGGGGTTCCCTGGGGGGTCGTGTTTCGAGCCTGAACGCTGCTCCCTCCCGAATGACTGCCCAGGACAACGGGGCTGGGCCCAATGGGGAGATCCCAGGAGGAGGGTCAGCGGCAGGGGGAGCAGCAGGCGGAGGAGGAGGAGGAGGGGGAGGGGGAGCGGGAGGAGGGAGTGGGAAGGAGAAGGCACAGGGGCGGCCGGCGGGGTGGCACGTGGGGCTGGAGCTTCTGCCTCTAGACACGCCCATAGGCGACCTGCCTTCCACTGAAGTCTTTGAAAACTCTGGGAAGCGAAGCCGCGTGGCTCTCTCTCATATCCGCACCTCCAGTGGCGGCTCCTCCCTCCCAGAATCCGAGCAGAAACAGCTGTTAGAGTTTGCTCGAAGCAGCGGTGTGCTAGGGAACAGCCCGGGTGGTGTGGGCGGGGGTGGGGGGACTCCTGGTGGGGGTGCTGCTGGGTTGGCGGGCGGGTCGAATTGTTCGTCTGCCCGGACGCTGAGTCCGGCACTGAGCACGGATTCCGGGCGGTCAGGTGGGGGGGAGAGCCCCGGTGGGTTCACGTCTTCAGGTGGTTCTCCAGGTGATGGGTTTGCGAATTCTGTTTTCGAAGGAGGGGGGTCTGGAGGGTCTGGATCTGGGTCTAGTAAGCCAGGGAGGAGCCCGCAGCTTCCTGGAGATTCACCAGGGCAAGGGGGGAGGGGGAGGAGTGGGGAGCGAGGGGGGCGGGGGGCGGGCGGGGGAGGGGCAGGAGGAGTGGGGATGGGCAGTAGGGACGGCAGCAGGGAGAGGGTGAGAAGTGAGAGTCCCCTGCGGGGGGAGAGTCCCATCCGGGGGCGGAGTCCCCTCAGGGGGGAGAGCCCCTGCAGAAAACGCGCATGGGGGAGTGATGTGGGGGAGGGGGAGGGTGACAGAGACGAGGCCATGGGGCAGGGGGACGAGGCGCAGGGAGGGGGGGGCGCAGGGGGAGGGCGGAAGGGGCCGGGGGAAGGGGTTGGGGGGAGTTCGGGGCAGGTCAGTGGGGCGAACAGCGGGGGAGGGGGGAGGGCGAGGAGAGTGGGAGGGGGGAAGAAAGTGGGGGCGGGGGCAGGGGGGGGAGGGGGGACGTCTTCGGCTGGTGCTGCTATTGGGGGGGGGAGTGGGGGTGCCCAGGGGGAGGCGTCAGGGGGAGAGGCGAAGAAGCAGAGGCAGAAGCGAGGGACGGCCACGGACCCGCATTCGGTGGCTGCAAGGGTGAGTAAGCTGGTGGCGTGGTCTTGTGGGCTGTCCTGTATGCCTTTCCCTAGCAGAGGCAGAAGCGAGGGACGGCCACGGATCCGCACTCAGTGGCAGCAAGGGTGAGTGGGCGGATGGTATGGTGCTGTGGGGTGGGGTTGTGTGCTTCAGTCAGGATGTCTCTCAGAGCAGTCGTTTGAGTCAACTCAGAAGCAGGGCGCGGCCACGGACCCACACCACACTCAGAGGCAGCGGGGGCGAGCGGGCTGCTTGCATGGTTTCGAGACGCCAAGCCGAGCGTAAAGATCCTGACCATCCTTCCCACACCTGAATCCCCTCAGACCAACTATGTCTTTTCCCACACGCCTCAGTCTTTTCCCCTCTCCCTTCTCTGGTCTCCCCACACCTTCAGTTACGCCGAGACCGCATCAGCCAGCGCATGCAGGCGCTGTACGACTTGGTGCCGAATGCATGGAGGCAAAAAAACACGCTTTTCACGCCTTCCCCCTCCCCCCACCCTCTCCGCTGTGCCCCCCTTTCAGCTTCGAAGAGACCGCATCAGCCAGCGCATGCGGGCGCTCTACGATTTGGTGCCGAATGCACGCAACACAGACACGGCATCCATGCTGGATGAGGCCATTCAATACGTGCGCTCGCTGCAGGAGCAAGTGCAGGTGCGTGCGTGTGTGCGTGCGTGTGTGTGTGTGTGTGTGTGTGTGTGTGTGTGTGTGTGTGTGTGTGTGTGTGTGTGTGTGTGTGTGTGTGTGTGTGTGTGTGTGTGTGTGTGTGTGTGTGTGTGTGTGTGTGTGTGTGTGTGTGTGTGTGTGTGTGTGTGTGTGTGTGTGTGTGTGTGTGTGTGTGTGTGTGTGTGTGTGTGTGTGTGTGTGTGTGTGTGTGTGTGTGTGTGTGTGTGTGTGTGTGTGTGTGTGTGTGTGTGTGTGTGTGTGTGTGTGTGTGTGTGTGTGTGTGTGTGTGTGTGTGTGTGTGTGTGTGTGTGTGTGTGTGTGTGTGTGTGTGTGTGTGTGTGTGTGTGTGTGTGTGTGTGTGTGTGTGTGTGTGTGTGTGTGTGTGTGTGTGTGTGTGTGTGTGTGTGTGTGTGTGTGTGTGTGTGTGTGTGTGTGTGTGTGTGTGTGTGTGTGTGTGTGTGTGTGTGTGTGTGTGTGTGTGTGTGTGTGTGTGTGTGTGTGTGTGTGTGTGTGTGTGTGTGTGTGTGTGTGTGTGTGTGTGTGTGTGTGTGTGTGTGTGTGTGTGTGTGTGTGTGTGTGTGTGTGTGTGTGTGTGTGTGTGTGTGTGTGTGTGTGTGTGTGTGTGTGTGTGTGTGTGTGTGTGTGTGTGTGTGTGTGTGTGTGTGTGTGTGTGTGTGTGTGTGTGTGTGTGTGTGTGTGTGTGTGTGTGTGTGTGTGTGTGTGTGTGTGTGTGTGTGTGTGTGTGTGTGTGTGTGTGTGTGTGTGTGTGTGTGTGTGTGTGTGTGTGTGTGTGTGTGTGTGTGTGTGTGTGTGTGTGTGTGTGTGTGTGTGTGTGTGTGTGTGTGTGTGTGTGTGTGTGTGTGTGTGTGTGTGTGTGTGTGTGTGTGTGTGTGTGTGTGTGTGTGTGTGTGTGTGTGTGTGTGTGTGTGTGTGTGTGTGTGTGTGTGTGTGTGTGTGTGTGTGTGTGTGTGTGTGTGTGTGTGTGTGTGTGTGTGTGTGTGTGTGTGTGTGTGTGTGTGTGTGTGTGTGTGTGTGTGTGTGTGTGTGTGTGTGTGTGTGTGTGTGTGTGTGTGTGTGTGTGTGTGTGTGTGTGTGTGTGTGTGTGTGTGTGTGTGTGTGTGTGTGTGTGCGGGGGTGGGGTTGAACTTGAGCATGAGTGCACGCAACACAGACACGGCATCCATGCTGGATGAGGCCATTCAATACGTGCGCTCGCTGCAGGAGCAAGTGCAGGTGCATGCAAGAGCAAGACTTTTGAGATATCTCAAAGCTCCTGCCTCTCCTTCATCTGCCCTTTTCACTGACCGCTCGCGTCCTTGCATTTATGAGATTTTTCGAAACCAGTTGCCTTTCTCTCGTCCTCATCCGCCCTTTCAACTCTCCCCTCGCTCCCTTAAACCAAACCAGACTCTAAAGAAGGAGAAGGGAGACAGCCAGGTCACCTCCTCGGTCGGCACGGGCAGCCTGGGCCGGGCGGCAGACAGCAGCAATAACGAGGATGGCGAGGGTGGCACGAGCAGGAGCGTGGGGCAACAGAGTATGGGCCAGGCTGGGTATGGAGGTACGGAGGACGGGTTTGGCTCGGAGAATGAGGTCTGGGACGGGAGTGCGGCGCCTTCCCCCATGGGCAGCGGTATGGGCAGCCGAAAAACTTCCCTGCAGCTGCTGGCTGACCGGCAAGGGAGTGGGGACTTTGGGGGCGTGGGACGCGAGGTCGGAGATGCGAAGGTGGAGGCAGGGTTGAGAGGGGTTGGGGTGGGTGTGGAGGGGTATATGAAAGCCGAGCCAGAAAATGACGATTTTGCTGAGCCACAGGAGCTGGAGCAGAAGCAGCAGAAGCAGCACCATTACAATCACAACCATCACAGTCATCAGCATTCACATGCACTAGCCCCCTCAGGCTCAGATGTGGGTATCACAAGTGCTGCTGCTGGTCTGGCACCACTAGTAGCTTCAGCAGCAGGGGCTACAACTAATGGAAGTGCTTTGGCAGGGGCGACTGGGGTGCTTGCTGCTTCTGGTTCGACGGATGGGGCTAAGGGTGGTAACAACGGTGCACTTGTAACGGAAGGTGGCGGTGTAGCTGGATTGGAGAGTATGATAGTGGGTGGTGCCGAGGTGGAATGGCCGGGTGAGATTGAGTTGACTCTGGAAGATATGAACATGGTGGACCTTGGTGGGTGGGACTTTGACTCCTGAGGAGTGGCAGGCAAACTCCTAATTATTACTACAACTGGTAGAAGTCAGAATGTGTGCGCGCAGTCTTGGGGGAGTCATTTCTAGTGGCTCACTTCTATTATATTTAATGCGACCTCTTACCGTTAGCATGTGCATGTTCGTATGGAAATGCCTTGTGGAATTAGCATGTAAATCGTTAGGTTTCAGGAATCAATTTTGAAATAACGTTGAATTCAATTTGCTTGGACAATACATTGGACCATATGCAGATAGGCAAGGATACCTGATGCTAGAAGTGTTCCAAACCAGGGCGTCTGCTCTATCGCCACGCTTGCCCAGAAGGAGCGATCTCCACGTCATTCCACTCATTTCCAGCGCGACGAAATCGAAGTGCGCGCGGATAGGCCAAGTCGTGGACCACTGTCTTGGCTATCGACGTGGACACAAAGGCCAGCTTGCCGTTGGATCCTTCTCGAACGGCAAGGATGCATCCATGCTCTGCATCGTTTACGAATGCGGGCGTGCCACGATCACGATATAGTGACACGAAGGCCCCTGCCTTGTTCAATGTTCAGAACAAACGAAGCTTGGCGAAAACTCTGAACAACAGGGAAATCCAAAATCGTTTCGCTGCATCGCGGTACAGTCACGAACGTACAGTGACGAAGCAGTTGTGCCATGGATTTCCTCCAGAAGCAATTGTTCACCCTCGTTTCAGTCCCCCTCGTCAGGAATTCCCAAGGGATTATAAATCATGCTTCTTCATTCACGCATTCTCTTTTGCAGGTTGCTCCAGCAGCTGCTCTCCCTTCTCTCTCCTCCCCTGCTCTCCCTGTCTAGAGCTCTGCTGGAGTTACTGGCATCAAGCAGGGTTTTTCCATTGTCAACAGCCAACACCATCCTGTTCCTTATATTGACCTCCTCAGCTCTGTTGGGTTCTGCCGAATGGCCGTTTCCACTACTGCTTTCCAGCGCAAGTTCCTTTTGGAACGCGTGACTGTTGACAGACCAGGTATTGGAGAGGGCAGGGTTTAGCAACTTCAACTAAAGCAGGAGCTTTTCTCTCACCTAACGTAACGCTGTCCGCTTAGGCGCGTCGACTCTCATCGTCAGACTATCAATACCTGCATATCTGACCAAGCACTCTCCATGTGTTTATCCACTCTCCCGGTGTCCCTACTCATTCGCTTGTACAGGATCAAGCCCGTGTTTGAGCACGTCCACGTCAGCAACCCCTTTCCGGCGAGCATCGCCAGTCGCGGAGGCCCCCGCGGCCCCCGTCAGCTCCGCATCTTCCGCCGGTCAGTCGCTGGCAGCCAGCTCCGTGCATTCCGCTTCGGTATCCGCGCCGTCGCCGCGCACGACCCTGCATTCCGGCTTCGCAAGCTCATCGCAACAGTAAGCGGTTTCGCGGATTTCCTTTTCGGCGTGGCCGAATCTCGCCTAGCGTTGGTATTTCTGTGAAGCCCGTTGTGACGCTGCCACGTTTCTTCTGATGCATCCCCTCTTCCATCACCTCGTGCATTCCCTTGTCGTCCCCTTCCCTCCTTCATCCCCTTATTCATCTCCTCGTACATTCCTTCTCACCGCCGTTTCCCCCTCCCCCCCCCCTCCCCTTCGTCCCATCATGCAGTCACGTCAATGGCTCTGCCGTCGCTTCCTCGTCGCGCTTCTCCGCGTCGTCCGCTTCCCCCGCTTCCGCCTGCGCCACTGAACTGGCGGACGACCTCTTCACCGCCGCGACTACGCGCGCAGCCGCGGCGGAAGCCCTTGCGCTCGCGCGCGCAGCGTTAGCCGTTGCGAAGGAAGCCGCGGAGCTGTCGCTATCGGAGGAGGCGATGGGCCTCTACGACGACGACAACGACGACGAATATGGGTTAACACAGGAGAGCTCGCTAAGTTCGCCGTTGTTAGGCTGGGGGGAGGAAGAGGAGGAGGGAGCGGACGAGATTATGGGCAGCGATCAGCTGCATCATATGTGGCTCTTAGCCGTCGATAAGGTCACGCATTTAGGGTCGTATCGCGGCGCGGAAGACAGTCTAAGTTCAGAACTCCCCTTACCTTCCGCCTCCGCTTCTCCCTCTCCCTCACCGCCTGCCCCAGTTCAGCCGTCCCCAGTCGAACCTCCCCCCTTCCAACCGTTCTCAACCCATCCGTTTGCCCGGCTTCCACATGACTATCTTCCCCAGGACCCTCCGCACCCGGACGGCCGTATCTTATCTACGGTAGATCGGACGGCTCAGGGTAGTTTGCCGGCGGCGAGTGTTAGCGAGCAGCCGCACGCCGTCAAGCGCACCGCAAAGCCGATTCGCGTGAGGAGAGCGGCGCGACAGGCGGGCAGGGCGTCAGGGGAGGGGAAGGCGGAGGCGGGTAGCGAGGCGCAAGCTGTTGGCGACGGGAATGTGAGCGTGGACGGCGCGCATCCGGCGGAGATTGTCATGTGGGCGGAAGACGCCGCGTATCACGGGCTCGAGCGGGCGCTGGAAGACGGCGCGCGGGAAGCCGAGCGGAAGGCGGACCGGGAGGGGGAAGCGGAGCGGAAGCCGAAGCGCGTGGTGGTGCGCTCGCTAAAGAGGGGCAAGCGCCTCGCGGAGCGCGAAAAGTCCCTGCAGCAGCGCCAGGCCTCGTCAGCCGCCGCCGCCGCCGCCACCGCGGCGGCTCCCGCTGGGAGAAAGAAGCCGGCGCTCGCTCTGGGGGAGGAAGAGTCGGAAGCGGAAGATGCGATCGTAGCGGAGGGGTACAGGCGGGCAGCGAATGAATCGGTTTTCGCGATGTTCGATACGGCGGGTGGTAACCCTCGGCTGTTGTCCGTACAGGAGGAAGTCGATCTCTCCAAGGGGGTTCAGGCGCTGCTGAAGCTGGAGCGCGAGCGGGAGGCGTTGGAGGAAAAGCTCCTCCGCGCGCCGACCCGCGCGGAGTGGGCGGAAGCGGCGGGGCTGTCCGTCGCGGAGGTGCAGGCGCGCGTGGCGTTCGGGAAGGAGTGCAAGCAGCGAATGATCGCGTCGAACATGCGACTGGTGATTTCCGTCGCGAAGAAATACACGACGCGCGGGTTGTCGCTGGAGGAGCTTATAACGGAGGGGTGCATGGGGCTTTTGAAAGGGGTGGAGAAATTCGACCACAGCAAGGGCTTTAAGTTCAGCACGTACGCGCATTGGTGGATCCGCCAGGCGATCAGCCGCTCCGTCGCGGAGCAGAGCCGCATCGTGCGACTTCCGGTGAGTGGGTCGCGTGGCGTGCGGCAGTAACGTTGTGGTGGTTTCACGCGTCAATCTCGCCAAGACCATGCTGACGGACGGTAGAGCATTTAGTGATGAACTCCCGCCCGTCCTCCCTCTCCTCCCCCCTTTCCCCACTCTCTCCCCTTTCCCTCCCCCCCAGGCGCACATATACGAGCTGGTGTCGCGCATCAACCGCGCCAAGGCCATGCTGACGGACGCGCTGGGGCGCGCGCCGGCGGAGCGGGAGGTAGCGCAGCTGGTGGGCATCACGCGGGGCAAGCTGCGCAGCATCATGCGCACCGTGCGCGCACCCACCTCCATGGACCGCCCTATCGCCTCCGACGACGGGGATGAGACCCTCGGGGTGAGTGGATATGGGCAGGGGCATGTGGCGCACCTGGTGGGTGTGAATGCAGGGAGTTTCTAGGAGTCAGTTCAGAGCAGGGGCAGGGGCAGGGGCAGGGGCAGGGGCAGGGGCAGGGGCAGGTGCAGGGGCAGGGGCAGGGCACAGGCGGAGTGGGAGGTGGCACAGGTTTTGTGCACACGCGGGGCGGTCCATTGCCTCAGGCAACGGGGATGAGACTCTAGGGGTAAGTGGGCATGGTAGTGTCATGACTGTGGCTTGGGAGGTGCCTGGGAGACTGAAGCGCCGTTCCCCCTCCCTCCTTGCTGTCTCTTCCCTCCCATCCCCCCAGATCTTTATCACTGACACCACCCTATCACTGATGCGCAAGGAGTTTGTAACCTAACCCTCTCCACCCAGTCCGCCGTCTCTTGCTGTCCCTTCACTTCCATCCTCCCCAGGCCTTTGTGGCAGACACGACTTTGGAGAACCCCGAGGACATGATCATGCAGCAGCTCATGCGCAAGGACCTGGAGAACGCCCTGCACACGCTGACGCCGCGCGAGAGGGAGGTGATGTGGCACCGGTACGGGCTGGACGACGGGCGCGTGAAGACCCTTGAGGAGCTGGGGTCGCTGTTCCGCGTGACAAGGGAACGGGTGCGGCAGATTGAGGGCAAGGCGCTGCTGAAGCTGAGGCAGCCGGGAAGGAGCACTGCACTCAAGAGCTACATTGAGGGGCATGCGCTGTAGGCTGGGGCTGGGTGGGCAGTATGTGGTGTGGACTGTTGCTGTAGCATGCACTGTACGTTGCGGCTGTAGCGTGCGGTGTAGTTGCGGCTGTAGCGTGCGGTGTAGTTGCATTGCAGCATTTGATTTGATAGCGACGTGGAAGGTGTGAAGCCTTTTCAATCATGGTGAGTCAAGTGCCGTTTGGAGTGTCGGTGTTTCAAGAATACCATAGATCAGACTGCCCATAGGGGTATGATACCAAGTGTTTAACTGATGGAAGCACATGAGATAAGCTTTAGTTATGGAAAATGATACCTGCCAACGAGTGAATCATGTGAAAGCATTTCATAATAGCATTTCCAATACACCTAGTGCTCTGTAATGTGTTAGGAGTCAGGACAACTTAGATGAAGCCTTTCTGCATTGATGTAGCTCATCTCCTATTGAACATCATTCGTTGATAAATGTTGATAATCATTCGTTGTGGTAATAGTGGTCAATGTAGATTTGTAGTCTAATGCCCTATGTAACAAAGCGACATGCCTGGCGAAATACAACGAGCACACTTCGTTCGGCAATCCCCAACCAGCTTCTGTTTCTCCCGTCTTCGAATTTGGCTTCCGCTGTCGGTCACAAACGCCGAAGCACTAGTTTCCCGCCCGGCAGCTGGATCATTCCGCCGCACTTTCAAGGTGGAAAGTGGATCCCACGTGCTACCGGATATCTGGTTTGCGGTGCTGCTAGAAGTACACGTCATGCTCGGTCAGCTAGTGTGACTTTTGCTGTCAAAGCTGCTTTCGTCACGTGGGACCGTGGGTCCGTAATCATTAACACATCCCCCAGCAAACTACGTACCCCAATCCAATCCTCTCAGCAACCTCATTTCGGACTCTAAGTTCAATTCACCAGTTTCGCTGCACATCGGCTTTCTCGCTACGTGCTCCTCGCCTTCTCCCAGTCGTTCGATTTTCAGCTCGTTATCGCCACCACACCACACCACCGGCTCGTTCGTCCTGTGGCGTGCTTGATTCATTCAAGTTCTTTCCGCACGCGAACTGCTTCACCTCACGCCAACCGCGCCAGCGTTTCGACATTTTCATTCACAGGTAAAAGCACCGGCAGGAGTTCATGTGCGATTTCTTTGGCGTGAAATTTTTGTAGCCGCAATTGTTCTGCCTATTCGAGCAAAACATACCCACGATGGCGTGCGTTTCTCTTGACATGCAGAGATTCAACTTGAGCGGCTGCAAGAGATCGGTCGCAAGACTGAGTCCCGCTCTGCGATTCGTGGTTGTTGACCTCGGGAGGTTCTCCGTCCGCGTCGCCGTTCGCCAAATCGCCGCCATCCGCCGACCTTCTGAGTCCGCAAATCTTGAATGCGTTCTGAGGTGCGTTTTCAAGACCTTCGTCAAACTTCTTTCTTCCTTTGTTTCCGTACGTTTTTTAAGCCTCGTTTGTATATTGTGTATCTTCAACCCTCACTGCCACGTTCCTGCTTCTGCCAGTCACTGACTTATACCGTCTCCCCTCTGGCCCACTGTCCCTTTCATCTCCCTGCTCCCCCAGGCATGCTCATTTCATGGCGATGGAAAATGAGCAGCTGGGCGCGCACTACGGCACGGGCGCAGCGCCAGGCGACGGATTGCAAGGGGGAAGGCTGGAGCAGCGTCCAGACGACTGAGGCTCATCATGGAAGTGATGAAGGGTGAAGGTTGAAGTATCATCTCCTGCCGCCACTCTCCACATGAGCCACCCCCCCTGGTCGAGGTTGAGGTTCGGATCAGGTTCAGGTGCCCCTTCAGGTGTTTTTTTTTTACCTGGCTCTTGTGGTGCTGCGGTCGTGCATCTTTCCTTCATTCGCATCTTCTTTCCGTTGGATTGTTGCCTGCCGCCATGTACTCACTGACTTCTCTCCTCGCTTCCCTGGCAGGTTTGAATGACCGCTGGAACGCCAAGGCCATTCTGCTCACAAGGCTGGCGTCGTGGGCGCAAGCTGCAAAGGAGTAGAGGAGCAGAGGAGCAGCCTCGAACTTATGGAAGGTTGAAAGTATCATCTGCGCCCTCCACACTCCACATGAGCCCCCCCCTGGTGAAGGTCAAGGTTCAGGTGCCCCTTCAGGTGTTTTTTTTTTTTACCTGGCTCTTGTGGTGCTGTGGTCGTGCATCTTTCCTTCATTCGCATCTTCTTTCCGTTGGATTGTTGCCTGCCGCCATGTACTCACTGACGTCTCTCCTTGCTTCCCTGGCAGGTTTGAATGACTGCTGGAACGCGAAGGCCCTTCTGCTCACAAGGCTGACGGCGTGGGTGCAAGCTGCAGAGGAGCAGAGGAGCAGAGGAGCAGCCTCGAACTTATGGAAGGTTGAAAGTATCATCTGCGCCCTCCACACTCCACATGAGCCCCCCCCCTGGTGAAGGTCAAGGTTCAGGTGCCCCTTCAGGTGTTTTTTTTTTTAACCTGGCTCGTGTGGTGCTGTGGTCGTGCATCTTTCCTTCGTTCGCATCTTCTTTCCGTTGGATTGTTGCCTGCCGCCATGTACTCACTGACTTCTCTCCTCGCTTCCCTGGCAGGTTTGAATGACCGCTGGAACGCCAACGCCCTTCTGCTCACAAGGCTGGCGGCGTGGGCACAAGCTGCAGAGGAGTGTAGGAGCAAAGGAGCAGCCTCGAACTTATGGAAGGTTGAAAGTATCATCTGCGCCCTCCACACTCTACATGAGCTCCCCCCTGGTAAAGGTCAAGGTTCAGGTGCCCCTTCAGGTGTTTTTTTTTTTCTACCTGGCTCGTGTGGCACTAAGATGGGCTCACATGCACACTTGCAGTGTTTTGGTTTTTGCACTGTTGGTAACAACCCGCCCAGTTTCTGTTTCAGCTAAGCTCTCCTTTGAACACCACTTTTCAATGCGCTGTCATCCGCCCATGCGCCTTCCTCCTTGCTGTCATGCCAACCACCCCTCCACTGAGCCTCCTCCCTTGGTAAAGGTCCAGGTTCAGGTAGAGGTTCAGGTGATGGTTCAGGTGGGAAGGTAAAGGTTTGGTAATTGGCTCCTGTGGAGGGAGTGTTGGCACTGCACCATGCCCCATGTGCCCTGTGTCATGCCATCGGATGCGCTCACCATCACCCACTGCACATGCACGCATTCCGCCCCGTGTGTCCTCCGTAGCAGCCCTTCACTCACTCCTGGTCGCTTCTCTCTTCCGCCCCCCTCTGTCCTCCCCCTATCCCCACCTGACTGTCAGGCTCTCTGCTCCAAGCCTGTCCTGGGGTCCGAGTCTCAGCAGCAAGGCGTGGGAGCAAGGCGTGGGAGCAAGGCGTGGGAGCAAGGCACTCAACGCTGCACACAAAGATAAGCCCTCACCCCTGGTTTCATACCCGCTCCATTTCTGTTTCACCTCGAGTTCTTCCAGCCCACCTCCTGGCATTCAATGCACTGCCCTACTCCCCCCATCCGCCCTCCCCCTTGCTGTCATGCCCACCACCCCTCCACAGAGCCTCCCCCCTCGGTAAAGGTTCAGGTTTAGTTTTCAGGTAGAGGTTCAGGTTATGGTTCAGGCTCCTGTGGAGGGAGTGTTGGCGCTCCATTATGCCCCTTGGTCATGCCATGCCATGCCGTGCCGTGCTCTCACCAGCACCCGCACCGCAGTTGTATCCTAGTGGTGCACTCACCCTCTCCTCCTCCCGCCCTTGCCTGCTTGCCTGGCAGATGCTCCTTCCCAGCGCCTCTGCTCGAGCACCTCTGCTCGACCAATTGACATCAGCCCTGCCAGGAGCCGCCTCTCCCTGCTCCTCTGGTGAGTGACCTCTTTCCCCTCACTTCACTTGCACTGCTCCTCACTTGTTTTTGATTCATGCTGCTACTGCATGCACTGACTCGTATTCTCCGTTTAGGATTAACACCAATGCTCCCCCACACCCCTCCCCTGTGCCGTGCAGGTATGCACGGGGATGGGAGGGAGGCAGAACAGTAGCAGACTTGAGTCGTTGCCACGAGGGGGTGGGCTTGGCCTCTCAAGGTACGTCAGCTCCCGCCTTGGCCTCATCCCTCCCTCCCTCGAGTTCTTTCTCTGCTGCATCTGTCTCTTTGTTCTTTCCATTCTCGTTTCTGTCAGCTTTATTATCTTTCTTGTTTCTGCCAACTCACCTGTTCCTCCTCCTGTCCTTCCTCTCCTGTCCCCCTCTCCATTTTCTATTCCCGCTACCAGGTCGCTTGGCATCGAGCGAAGACTGTAGCAGAGGAAGCTGAGTAGCAGACCGGCAGCAGCAGTTGCAGGCAGCAGCAGCAGCAGCAGCAGCAGCAGCAGCAGCAGCAGCAGCAGCAGCAGCAGCAGCAGCAGCAGTGGGGGGTGGGGGGCTAGGCTAGGCTAGGTCAAGGTGTGGGTAGGTGTGGTAAAAGGTTTGGTATGGTACCAGGTGAGGTATGATGATCTGATCCCCCCTCTCTCTTTCTCCCCCGTTTCTTCCCTGCAGCCTGAGATTGGGAGCACTGGAGCAAGGGCGGAGAGTGGAGTCCACCCTCTCACTCACCTCCTCCCCTCTCTCCCTTTTCCCTTCCCTCCCAGCAGCAACCTGCTTGGAGCACAGTGGAGCCCTGCCCTCTGTTAATCCCCCCACCCTCACCTCCCCACTTCCCAGCAGCCTCAGGCATCATGGCGCTCTCCTCGGCTGTGGTAAGTAGAGGTAAGTACAGGTAAGGAGGCATGGGGTGAAGGCAGGGGTGGGGGGAGGTGGTGATGGGAAGCATGGGAGCAAGTGGGCAGTTCACTTCCTTAGGGGGAGCATCCTCTGGGGTTGTGGCTTGTGGGTCGGGTCGGGGTGTGGTTAGTGGAATCTGCGCGGCACGGCACTCGGTGCTCAAGTAACCGATCTGGCGTTTAAGGCTTAATGGACACCGTCAGAGCCGACCGGCCGGCGGCTCTGGTTCGCGTCAGCTCTAGCTACGTCAGGGGTGGGATTTGAGTCTTGGGCTGGAAGCGAATTTTCACTGTCACACCTCGTACCACAAGGCACAGCCACTGGGGGTGCTGTTTCCGTAAGGAGGGGGCTGTCTGCTGCTCCTACTGCTGGCAGGTAACGGTGGGCTGGCAAGGGGTGGCGGGGGATGGGGGTTGGGGTCGGGGATGGTATGGTATAGTGTGGTATGATACAGTGTGGCATAGTGTGTGGTGTGACATAGGATGGTATGACATAGTATGGTGTGACATAGTGTGGTGTGACATAGTATGGTGTGGCATGGTGTGATGGTGTGACATAGTGTGGTGTGGCATAGTGTGGTGTGGCATAGTGTGGTGTGACATAGTGTTGTGTGGCATAGTCTGCTGTGATTTTGTATGTTGTGACATAGTATGTTGTGACATTGTATGGTGTGACATTGTATGGTGTGACAGATTATGGTGTGGCATAGTGTGGTGTGACATACTAGAGTGTGGCACAGTATGGTGTGACAATAGTATGGTATAGCGTGGTGTGACATAGTGTGGTATTGTTCAGTGTGGTATATTACTTTGTGGATAATACTGTGGCATGATACAGTGTGGTATGATACTGCATGATGTAATAAGGTGTGGTGTGCTACAGTGTGGAGGATACAGAATTGTGTGATACAGTGTGGTATGAGACAGTGTAGTGTGATATGGTGAGGTATGAAGTGTTTTGGTGTGATGGAATGCGGTATGATACAGTATGGTATGAATGACCTGTGGTGTGATACCACTGTGATATAATTGAGTGGGTGTGGTGTGACTCACTAATTTTGCATAGTGTGACACATTGGTTCTGTAGCTGTGACAGTATGTCATGTCATTGTGGCGTGTCATGCTTTGGTATGCCATTGGATGGCATGCCATTGTGTGGCATGCCATTTTGTGGCATGGTATTGCATGGCTTGTCATGGTTTTACATGTCATGGTGTGACATGCTATGGTGTGGTATGGCGTGACCTGGCATAGCATGGTGTGGCATGTCATTGTGAGGCATGTCATGGTGTGGCATGTCCTTGTGTGGCATGTCATGGTGTGGCATGTCCTTGTGTGGCATGTCATGGTGTGGCATGTCCTTGTGTGGCATGTCCTTGTGTGGCATGTCTTTGTGTGGCATGTCTTTGTGTGGCATGTCCTTGTGCGGCATGTCATGGTGTGGCATGTCCTTGTGTGGCATGTCCTTGTGTGGCATGTCCTTGTGTGGCATGTCCTTGTGTGGCATGTCATTGTGTGGCATGTCATTGTGTGGCATGTCCTTGTGTGGCTTGTCATTGTGTGGCATGCCATGGTGTGGCGTGTCATGGTGTGGCATGCCATGGTGTGGCGTGTCATGGTGTGGCGTGTCATGGTGTGGCATGCCATCATGCAATTTACAGGCTGGCTGAAGCTGAAGGGAAGTGAAGCACCGTGGAAGGCAGGGAAGACAGCATGGGAGGAAAGAGGATGGAAGGGGGGTGGAGGAGTTGAGGAGTGGAGGTGTGTGTGGCATGGCAAGCATGGTTGTATCAGCTTGCGTACCATGCCCCACCACACTGCCATGCTATGTCACGGTAACCAGGGCCCATGCACTATGTAAACACCGACCCTAATAAAGATTCTTGGCTGCTGGTGGTACCGTAGGCTGGCGATGTACATCATATTTGCGACACATTATACTTTCTTTGGTGTTTATATTGGTGCTTAAACTAACAAGCATACCATAAAAGAGTTTATCACCCATAATGTTGAAGGCGCTATGCGTTGCAGAGGTCGTCACCATCCCGTAAGTTGTATGAGATTCTTGCAGAGCCCTAAGTCTGATGTTGCTCTGGGCGGATTAGCACTCTGGTGGGTGCTCCAGGATGTGCCTGTTTCGAGTGTAATCATAAGAACCAGAAATCCTAGTGGTGTGTGCACTGCTAAGCTGGCTCAAAGGGCGAGGCTGGGAGCTTGGAAGGCAAAGTCCCTTCCAGCCCACAGAAATTAACTTAGATACCTTATTTGAGACCACTATACAGTAAGTAGCAGGATGCCACCTTAACTGCACCATGGTCAAAGAAAATTCACTTATCAAGCCATTAGACGTCCCTTTGGTCTTTAAGAATAGAGACAAGTTACTCAAGGATCTCGACAGTTGTCCCACTGCTGATCCTCCCTGTAGATTACATTACATCCCATCCCACGTGTTCATCCCATCATACCGCAGGAGAGTGTCATATCATGGTTACAAAACAGAAGGAAGTTAGCACATTCAGCTGTTGACATTCTGGTATTCCATCACTTCAATCAAGCCCTTGGAACGTCCCTTCAGTCTCCAAGAAGGGAGACAAACTACTTGCAAGGTCCCCCACAGTTGTCCCGCTGCTCATCCTCCCTTCAAAGAACGCAGCATCGTCTTCCGCATCTGCTGCATCTGCAGCAGCCGTCGCCACACTCTGCTTCTTCCTACGTCTCGCACCCATACTCTCCTCCGATTCTCCCGACATAGACTGGATATCCTCCCCGACCGTACTCAAGCCGCCTTCCGAGTTTGAGCTACTGGCTCGTTGGGCTGCCTGGGCGAGATTCACGAAGCTGGCGGACAGGTGCGGGGAGAGGGTGAGGCCTGGTGTGGGAGACACCTGCTGGGATACCTGCGGTTGGATTTCCCACACAGGTGTTTGCTCAGGTGATTGGGTTTGGCCCAGCTGCTGCCCTGGCTGGCCCTGTTGTTGTTGGTGGTGAGGTGGTAGGATGAGTTGGTGTAGCATCTGAAGCTGCTGCTGCATCTGCTGCTGCTGTAGCTGTAGCTGCTGCTGCTGCTGAAACAACAGCTGCTGCAACTGCTGCTGGTGCTGTTGCTGCAGCTGCAGCTGCTCCTGCTGCAAGCTTACCCTCGGCTCATCCCTCCCCTGCTGCTGCTGTTCCTGCTCCTGCTGCTGAGGCTCTGAATGATGGCGTGACGGGGTGTGCGGTCGCTCCTCTCGCACTCCTCCCTGCGGCTGCTGCTGCTGCCGCTGCTGCTGCCGGGACCCCCCTGCTTGAGCGGCGGTTGCTCTGACTGCAGTGGAGTCGGCTCGCTGGTATCGTGAAGGCGTTTCGATGGTGATTTCTGTGTCCTCTAGTAACGCGAGGCACACCTGGTGGGAGCAGCGAATTCAGTCGGGGAGAGCAGGCATGGAGCAGGTATGGGGGAGAACAGAGCGAGGGGTTGGAGCCGGCTCCTATTCCCCCCTCTTCTCTTCCTAACCCCCTCCCCCTCTCCCTTTTCACTCCAACTATGCAAGCTCATCCGAATCATATCGTGGATTCGGACTAAGTACTACTATTGGCCGATTAAGGCAGGGACCCCAGCTCGGGCCATAGTGAGCATGACATTAGGTAAAGGGTCGGACAAAGCCCCTCTCTCCGTCCCCTCCTTAACAAGCTCACCTGAACAGCGTCGTGGATGCGGACAAAGTACCACTGGCGGCCGATCAGATCAGGGAAGCCCGCTTGGGCCATGGTGAGCATGACCTTGGGCGAGGGGTTGGATTAAGCCCCTTCTCTCTCCCCTCCTCTCCTTAATAACACGCTCACCTGAACAGCGTCGTGGATCCGCACGAAGTACCACTGGCGGCCGATCAGATCAGGGAAGCCGGCTCCGGCCGCTCTCCCCCTTCCCCTCCCCCCCCCCCCCCCCCCCCCCCCCTCCCCTCCACTCTGCCCCTTTCCTACTAAGACAGAGCGGCCTCACCTGAACAGCGTCGTGAATCCGGACAAAGTACCACTGGCGGCCGATCAGATCAGGGAAGCCGGCTCGGGCCATGGTGAGCATGACATTTGGCGAGGGGTTGAATAAAGCCAACAACCCCACCCACTCCCAACAACCCCACCCACCTCTGCCCCGTTTCTACAAAGCCCAAGCGTCCTCACCTGAACTGCATCGTGGATCCGAACGAAGTACCACTGGCGGCCGATCAAATCAGGGAAGCCGGCTCGGGCCATGGTGAGCATGACTTTGGGCGAGGGGTTGGAGAAGCACAGCTGGATGTCCCGTGCCTTGTACTCGTTATAGAGCTCCTTCAGAGCGTGCACGGCCGTGGAGTCGATATAAGTAACAGCTGCAGTAGGGGTGCGGGGGTAGGAGAGAGACGACAGGGGATGACGGGAATAATGAGCATTCATTCGTATTTTTGTTTTTTTAAGACATCTGAAAGATAGTAGTCAATTTTTTTTTACATCAACGGCTGAGGACAAAGAAGGGACCAAGGAACTCACAGGACAGCTGAGCTGATTAACGAGGAAAATGTGAGCGACAGAAAGAAGCACTCACGAGACATCTCTAGTGTAAGGAAGTGCAGGTCCATGACAGCCATTCCGTTGCCCCCCACGCTACTGCTGCTTCCTGCCAGCCTGCCTGTTTCGCTGCCTGCTATGACCGCGTCTCAAATCATAAACACTCACGGGACATCTCGAGGATGAGAAAGCGCAGGTCCATGACCGCCATTCCGTTGGCCCCCACGCTGCTGCTGCCATCCAGCCTGCCCCTCTGCTGTAACCGCGTCTCAAATCACAAACACTTACGGGACATCTCTAGTATGAGGGACGGATGCACTCACGGGACATCTCGAGGATGAGAAAGCGAAGGTCCATTACTGCCATTCCGTTGGCCCCCCCATTGGTGCCAGCCTGCCTGCCCCCACTGCTGTCACGTTTTGAGGCGTCTCAAATCCCAATCACTCACAGGAAAGCTCAAGGGATGAGGGAGAAAGATCTTGAGCAGAAACAAGGGACGGAAGCACTCACGGGACATCTCGAGTATGAGAAAGCGCAGGTCCATGACCGCCATTCCGTTGGCCCCCCCGTTGGTGCCAGCCAGCCTGCCCCCGCTGCTGCCGCTGCTGCCATCCTTCCACCACGCCACCCTCTGCAGCTCGTACTTGCGTAGCCTGCAATGAGGGGGGACGGGGGAGAAGGGGGGAGTGGAGAGATGGCAGAGAGGCAGGTATTAAGGTGACATGTCAAAGAGCCACTAAGCTGCCGTCCTTCCACCACGCCACCCTCTGCAGCTCGTACTTGCGTAACCTTCAGTAAAGACAGGAGGGGTTTTGGGGTGACCCTTTACATGTCAAACAGCCACTTTGATGCCACCCTTCTTCTGAAACCACACCACCCTCTGCCATGTTGGCAAAGTAGACGGCCGCATCGACGCGCAGAATGTCCACGCCCCTGTATGTACTGCGCTTGCAGCATCTCGCCTTAAGCTACATCCCACCTGTGGCCATATCATATCTCACCTCTCTTTGATGTAGTCCACATTGGCGAAGTAGATGGGCGAGTCGATGCGCAGAATCACCACGCCTCTGTACGTGTATGCGTCGCGATATTGCTTCACGTTGCGATAGACCGTGGTGCCTGGGAGGCGACCCAGGACAGCTGGGAGGGAAAGGAACAGAGGGCACGACATAGGAAGGGGCCGGAAAAGGAGGGGGTAGGGGGTAGGCCGGAAGTGTGTTAAGTATGGCGGTGCTGCTTCACATTGAGGTAGACCGTGATGCCAGGGAGCCGGCCCAGAATAGCTGAGAGGGAGAGAGTATGAAAGAGGATGGGCTGGGGGGGGAATTGAGGGCATTGGTGACATGGGGGCGCGAGTATAGCAAAGCATGGGTGTTTGCAGACGAGGACGAGGAATTACACGCGAAGGGAGTGTCTTGGGCATTGTGTAGGGCACTCCTGGGATGGGTGCATGCCAGCTCACCCATGTGCGGATTGGCGGATTTCGACTAAAAAATGGGATGGGTCCATGACAGCTTACCCATGTGCGGATTGGCGGATTCGTGGATGACAAAGACGAGGGAAGAGGTGCACTGGTGAAGCGTGTGAGCCTGCCTCCCTCACACGTAGCTGCCTAAGGCCCACTAGCGTACTGGCATGGGTGCTCGCAGGCTTACCTAACAAAGCCTACGTGCGCATGGAGGCTTACCCATGTGCGGATTAGCGGATTGGAGGATGACAAAGACGAGGGAAGTGGTGCACTGGTGAAGCGTGTGAGCCTGCCTCCCTCACACGTAGCTGCCTAAGGTTCACTGGCCTACTGCCATGGGTGTTCGTCCGCTTACCTAACAAAGCCCATGTGTGTATGGAGGCTTACCCATGTGCGGATTGGCCGACTCGTGGATGACAAAGACGAGGGAGAGAGCCACCTGTCAGGGGATGGGGAAGAGGGAAAAGGAGTTGCTTTTGAGAATTCTCAAAAGAGGGGAGTGAGAAATGGGGAGACGATAACACCAGCAGCAGCGACCCAAGAAAGGCGCCGAGCCACGAGATTAGGCACTCACTTCTGCCATAGAGCGCTCGAGAGCTAGAGCATGACAGCGAGAGAACGAGAGGCAGACATACCGAGATGAGCACGCCAGTTTCAAGCCCCAGCAGCAGCGTGCCCAGGAAGGCACAGAGCCACAAGACGAGGTCCTTCTTCTCCACCCGCCACAGGAACAGCGGCTCTTGAAGGTCCACCAGGCCGTGCACCGCGTTCACCACCACCGCTGCCAGCACACACTGCGATGGGGTGAGGGGGAGGAGGGGGGGGGTAGGAGCGGGATGTGGGGGATGGGAGGGTGGGGTGGGTAGGTGTGGTGCAGCAATGAGAAGCCGAGCATCCACACTCGCCACAGGAAGAGCGGCTCCTGTAGGTCGACCAGGCCGTGCACTGCATTCACCACCACCGCTGCCAACACACACTGGGAAGAGTACGGGGGTCATGGGGAGAGGAATGTTGGGGACAAGGGGGTCGGGTGTGGTGCAACAACGATAAAATCCAAGTATCCACGCGCCAGAGGAAGAGCGGCTCCTGGAGGTCGACTAACACGTGCACTGCATTCACCACCACCGCTGCCAGCACGCACTGAGGGGAGACAGGGAGGCAGGAGAGTGGAGCAGGGGGGAGGAGAAAGAAGTGGGCCGGCTAGGGACATCTTGAAACACACTGCTTCCACGCACCACAGGAAGAGCGGCTGCTGTAGGTCGACTAGCCCGTGCACTGCATTCACCACCACCGCTGCTAGCACGCACTGAGATGGGGTGAGGGGGAGGAGAGGGGGGGGTAGGAGCGGGATGTGGGGGATGGGAGGGTGGGGTGGGTAGGTGTGGTGCATCAATGAGAAACCAAGCCAAGCAGCCACGCGCCACAGGAAGAGCGGCTCTTGAAGGTCGACCAAGCTGTGCACTGCATTCACCACCACTGCTGCCAGCACGCACTGAGATGGGGAGAGGGGGGGATGTGGGGGATGGGAGGGTGGGGTGGGTGGGTGTGTTGCAACAACGAGAAGCCAAGCCAAGCAGCCACCCTCCACAGGAAGAGCGGCTCTTGAAGGTCGACCAGGCTGTGCACTGCATTCACCACCACTGCTGCCAGCACACACTGAGACGAGAGAGGTCGAGGGGTGGAGGGGAAAGCAGGATGTGGGGACGGGTGGGTGGGGTGGGTGAGGTGCAGCAATGAGAAGCCGAGCAGCCACCCGCCACAGGGTTTGTTTCTCTAAGCCGATTCTAGAGCCACCCGCACATACACACCTGCGGCACGTCTCTGAAGGCTGGAGTGAGGAAGAGCAGAGCAGCGTGGCAACGACCATGAGCGCCATGATGAGCCCACTCAGGGCTGTGTGCTGTGTGAAGGATCGTGCCTGACTGACTGCCCTTTCAGCTCAACCACGCACCACCCCACCATACACACCTGTGGCACGTCCTTAAAAGCAGGAGTGAGGAAGAGAAGTGTGGCAACGACCATGAGCGCCATGATGAGCCCACTCAGTGCCTTAAATAAATAGGACCACACTGCCCTTTCAGCTGACCACAGGTTACCCATACGTACCTGTGGCACGTCTCTGAAGGCCGGCGTGAGGAAGAGCAGCGTGGCCACGACCATGAGCGCCATGATGAGCCCACTGAGAGCTGTGCGCGCGCCGACTTCATTGTTCACCGCTGATCGAGAGAAGGAGCCTGCAGGGGTAGGGAGAGGTGAGGAAAGGTGAGGGGAGATGAGGAGGGGTGAGGAGGGGTGAGGAGAGCCATGATGAGCCCAGTCAGTGCTGTGCGCGCTCCCACCTCGTTGTTCATTGCCGAGCGGGAGAATGAGCCTGCAGTGATGGGGGGAGCGGTGGCAGAGGGTGGGGGGAGAAGGAGTGGGGTGTGGGCCATGACGGGGACCCGTGAGTAGAGGCATGCCAAGCCAAAACGACCTCTGAGGTCTGTCCTTGGGAACAACAAGAACAACTGACACCAGCAGGGCTCACCGGTGGTGGGGAAGGAGGAGAAGAATGACCCGAGCACGTTGGCCATGCCGGGCCAAAACGACCTTTGAGGGGAGTCACGGGGAAGGGCTGTCCTGAAAAAGGGCTGTAATGTCGAAGGGCCGTGGTGGGGATGGGATGACTTCACTCACCGGTGGTGGGGAAGGAGGAGAAGAATGACCCGAGCACGTTGGCCATGCCGAGCCCAAAGAGCTCCTGGTTGGCATCGATGGCGTAGCCGTTGCGTGCTGCGAGCGCCTTGGCTATTCCACACGACTCCAGGATGGCGACGCCTGTTATCACGAGTGCTGTTGGCAGCAGCTTGGGGAAATACTCCCAGGGGAAGGCCGTGGAGAGGGATGGGAGACCCTGGGGGATTTCGCCCACCTGTGATGGACGGGAAAGTGGGAAGAGAATTGGGAAGGGAAGTGGGGAGGGAAGTGGGGAAGAGGTAGAGGATGAGTGTTGATTGGGGTAGCCGTTGCGTGCTGCCAGCGCCTTGGCTATGCCGCATGACTCCAGTATTGCCACCCCTGTGATGACCAGCGCTGTTGGCACAGCTTGGAAAAATACTTCCAGGGGAAGGCGGTCGACAGGAAGGGCAAGCCCTGGGGAATTTCCCCGACCTGTGAAGGAAGGAAAGAGGGAAGGGAAGTGGGAAGAAAAGTGGGAATGAAAGTGGGAAGGGAAATGGGCAAGAGGCAAAGAAGGAGCGGGGATGGCGTAGCCGTTGCGTGCTGCCAGCGCCTTGGCTATCCCGCACGACTCCAGGATGGCCACCCCCGTTATGACCAGTGCTGTTGGCAGCAGCTTGGGGAAATACTCCCAGGGGAAGGCCGTGGAGAGCGAGGGCAGGCCCTGAGGAATTTGGCCCACCTGTGGTGGAAGGGAAAGTGGAAGAGAAGTGGGAAGGGAAGTTGGAAAGAGGAACAGGAGGAGCAGAGAGAGGACGGTGGAGAGAGCGCAGGCCCTGGAAGATCTCGCCCACCTGTGATGCTGAGAACAGAGGGGGACCGTAGCAACAGGAGAGAGGATGACGGGCTCTTGCCCGCCTCCTTCATGAGCAGCAGCGGCAGCAGCAGCAGCAGCAGCATGAGAAGAAAAAAACAAAGAAATGCCTAATCTTCCTAATAGACTCACCACAGGCACATGCGGGGGCCGCCAGAGCCTGACGACCATAGCCCCGAGCACAATGCTGGTAAACGGGCCTGCACATCGCAGCACCTGCAGCGACTTCCAGCTCTTGCCCGCCTCCTTCATCAGCAGCAGCAGCAGCAGCAGCAGCAGCGGCGGTGGCGGCAGCAGCAACAGCAGCAAAACAGCCCCTGAACCTTCTCTAAAAGACTCACCACAGGCACATGGGGGGGCCGCCAGAACTTGACGACCATGGCTCCAAGCACAATGCTGGTGAAGGGCCCTGCGCATCGCAGCGCCTGCAGCGACTTCCAGCTCTTGCCCGCCTCCTTCATGAGGAGGAGGAGAAGCAGCGCGCCCCCTCCCAGCGCCATGGGCTCCCAGTGCGCCCTCCCCGCCATTATCTGCTTGATTATGTGCGACAGTGCTGCCACAAACGTGGTCTGGCCTGGAGGGGGGTTCAAAGAGCAAGTAACAAGAGGCAAATAGGAGCCTGGGATGGGAAGATAGAGGCTGAGAGAAATATACGGCTGATCCAGGGAAAAACTTTGAGTAGACTATTCCTTCCATCCCCCTCATCAAGGCTTTGGCTTAAAATGGGGAATCCAAGAGTGCGTGGAGCAGCCGAGTAGTTTTCATATTTCCTGAGCAGTTCTTGTCCATGAATCATTCTTGAGAATTCTCAAAAGTGACTCCAATATAGCTGATCAAGGGGCACTAAACGCAAGCTGTTCTCGCTGCTCCCACCGCCAGCAGCACCACACCGGTCGATTTTCAGACCCGTTTCTGCCTCCTATGTGCCCCGCCTACCCGTTGATCACTTGGTACCTCAATCCTTGTGCTCTCACTCACCCGGCATGGAGAACCCGAGAATGTCCTTTGCCACTGACACGCACACCAGGAGCGCCGCGCCTGAGGAGGGGAATGAGGCGGACACACCCACTAGCCTCCAGCCTTATGGTCTCACCCTGCGTACACCCACTAACCTCTCCCCTTGTGGTCTCAACCCCCCTCACTCACCCGGCATGGAGAACCCGAGAATGTCCTTTGCCACTGACACGCACACCAGGAGAGCCGCGCCCGAGGTGAAACCAGAGACAACGCTGTGCGAGAGGAAACGCACGAGCCACCCCATTCTGGAGATGAAAGTCGGGGGAAAAGAGTGGACAAGGAGTGAGAGCGCTTTTGAGAATTCTCAAGAGCAGGAGCGCGAGGAAGGGGTGGATATGGGAGCCGGTGAGTCGATTTTTGAGTCGACTCAAAAAGCGCGAGGAAGGGGTGGATATGGGAGCCGGTGGGGAAAATTAAAATGAAAAGAGGGGAGGGTGCATAAGCTAAGCGGTGCGTGCGAGGCACAGGTGAAAAATTTCTTCAAAAATCAAGGAGAACATGCTCAAAAGGTTCTGAGACCACCATACCTAGACGACCCTGGAACAATACCTGAGAAGCCCCTTTGAAAAAACACCTGAGGAGGCCCATGAAAACACATACCTGAGCAGGCCCATGAGCACTTCCAGCAGCCCCACCATCAGCGCCAGCAGCACTGCCAACTCTTCAATGCTCACATCCCCTACTGTCCCTGCTAGTCGACTCAAAGGACACCTGAGAGCACTCACCTGAGCAGGCCCATGAGCACTTCCAATAGTCCCACCATCAGCGCCAGCAGCACTGCCAGCTCCTCCATGCTCACATCCCCCGCCCCTACTGCCCCTCCTCCTAGATTTCCTCCTCCTCCCATCCCCAGTCCTCCTCCTGCTCCTCCTCCACCTGTCAATTCTGCTGCGGTGATCCCCCACCCCATGCTACTCAGCTGCCTTGCAGCCGTGCTCACAGGGAACGGAAACAGAGCACTGCTGCTGCTGATACTGCTACCACCACCAGTGCCGCTACTACTGCTGCCAACAGATGTTTGAAAACCCAGCAGAGACCTAGCGGGCTGAAACCCACCCAATCCTGTCCCACCAGGGAGCTCTATCCCTCCCGTGGGGGGCAACCCGCCTGCTGTTACAGCCAGGCCTGCTGCTACAGCCGAGTCGCGGAGCTTCTCCGCTACAACCTTCCTGAGCCCGTCGAATGTGAGGATGGATACGATTGCCACGGGGCCCACTGCCAGCTGGCGGGATGAACCGAACACCACGTAGCTCAGAATGGGCACGAACGCCGAGTCTGACCGGGGAGGGAGAGACAGGTTGGGGGGGGGTAAGTGCAGGGGAAGGGGCGGGGTAGGGGGTAGGGGACAGAAAGAGGGGAGGGGGGGGAACGTAGGAGGGGGGAGGGGAGAGGGCAGGGGAGGAGGAGAGGAGATGAGAAGGTGCGTTTCGCAAGTGCCATCTTCCCATGGGGAGCTTCTCCGCTTCTCTGCTTCTCCGATACAACCTTCCTGAGCCCGTCGAATGTGAGGATGGATACGATCGCCACGGGGCCCACTGCCAGCTGGCGGGAGGAGCCGAAGACCACGTAGCTCAGAATGGGCACGAACGCCGAGTCTGGCCAGGGGGGGCGAGGGGGCCGTGGGGTGGGGGGAAATGGGGAAGAGGGAAAGAGGAGAAGAGAAAGTGCGTTTCGCAATCGCCACAGGGCCCAGCTGGCGCTTCGAGCCAAACACCGCGTAGCTCAGAACGGGCGAGAACGCCGAGTTTGGCGCGGGGGGGGGGGGGGGGGGGGGGGGGGGGTTGGGGGGGAAGGGAGATGGAGGGGCAGGTGTGGGGGGAGGTGGGTGGGTGGGGGAAGGGGAGAGGAGAGGAGAAGGTGCGTCTTGCAATCGAAGCCATGGGGCCCACCGCCAGACAGCGGGAGGAGCCAGGGGAAAGGGGGATAGGAAAAGGGGACGGGGAAGCGGGGAGGGGGAAGAGGGGAGGGAGGGAGGAAAAGATGAGGGGATGAGGAGAAGAAGATGTGCCTTTCTCAGGTGGCACTCTGTATCTGAGACCCTGACCCTCAGAAGTTGAGGAGACTTGACAAAAGTACCGTTTTTCAACACAATTCGCGTGTCAGACATACATTAGTTAGAAGCATGTCAAGCGCATCACACGCACACGCTAGTTAAAGGCATGTGAAGGGTGTGGCATACATACATAGGCCGTATATCGGAGGCAGGCCCGCAAGCTTAGCATATGACATTGACTGTGGGAGGGGATTGGGAAGGGTTGGACGGGAAACGTAGCGGGAGGAGATGGGCTCATGAAAGGTGTGATGCAGGGGAAGGTGTGGTTGAAAAAAGCGTGGTTACAATGGTGCGGTTAGGAAGGTTGGGGCGGTTGGGAAGGGAAGGGGAATGGTGGAATGGTGGGAAGAAGGGAAGGGGAAAGAGAATTGACGAAAGAATTCCGAAACAAGTGAAAAGGTCAGGTTGAATAGACAATACAGTAAGCAAATATGATTTAAACACCAAAGTCCACGCTTATCCGTAACTAGTGCACATCTAGTCTTCCCACCTGTGGCACAAGCATCACGCCCACGCTTATCCCCGCAATAAGGTCCGCCACGAGGTCTTCTCGCAGGCTATAAGCCGCCATCCACTTGGTACACGGGAAGAGGTAGTGCACTACGCGCCAAAACGCCGCCCAGCAGTTGGAACCAATAAACCCCCCGGTCCCGCCAGGGGAACCGGTGTCGTATATGTCAGCGTGCGAGGGGTGCGACACTGGCAGCACTCGCACGCGGCTGATTTGGGATGAGTGGGAATGGGGAGGTACAGGGGGTGGGAGATGAGGCGTGTTTGGGAACCGGTGTCGTATATGTCAGCGTGGGAGGGGTGCGACACTGGCAGCACTCGCACGCGGCTGATTTGGGATGAGTGGGAATGGGGAGGTACAGGGGGTGGGAGATGAGGCGTGTTTGGGAACCGGTGTCGTGTATGTCAGCGTGGGAGGGGTGCGACACTGGCAGCACTCGCACGCGGCTGGTCGGTCCCGGGGAAAGAGATGGGAGGGCGGGAGGGAAGGAGGATGGAAGATGAGGGGGAAGACTGTTTTTGGGAACCGCTGTCGTGTATGTCAGCGTGCGAGGGGTGTGACACTGGCAGCACTCGCATGCGGCTGAGGTGGGTGATGGGGGGAGCGAGAAACGGGAGAGGAAAAGGGGAGGCTAAGGGGGAATAGTTTGGGAGCCGCTGGCGTAAATGTCAACATGAGACGGGTGTGACACTGGCAGCACACGTACACGGCTGAGGTGGGTGATGGGGGGAGCGAGAAAGGGAAGAGGAAAAGGGGCAGCACGCGCACGCGGCTAAATGTCAACATGGGACGGATGTGACACTGGCAGCACACGTGCACGGTTGATGGGTGACGGGGGGAGAGAGGGGATCAAGGTGATTTGGGGGACGCGGAGGAGTACATGTGCTAGGGAGCCGCTGTCGTGGATGATGGCGTGCGAGGGGTACGACGTTGAAATAAAATTCGAGCTTCAGGAACCCAGGATTCGCTCATCCGTCCATTGCTTGGTGAATAGAATTTCTAGCGGAACACTGGGACCCGTGCTGTGCTCACCAGGGCTTCAAGCCGCCTCTGGCGCCGCCGCCCCTGCCGAACGACTTTCTAAGGCGCCTAAGAAACAAACAGCAACGTCGGACTGTTGAAAAATAGACAGAGCCTAGTCTTCGCTCACCGGGGCTTTAAGCTGCCTCCTGCTCCGTCATTTCTGGGTGCTTTGTTTCTGTGGCCCCCATACACACCCTCCACACCCAGACGGAATTACGCTTTGCTCACCGGGGCTTTAAGCCTCCCCCTGCTCCGCCATTGCTGCTGGACGCCGACGGGAGAGGCGGCGCAGGGCCCGCCGAGGATGACGGCGCGATGAGCGCCATCCACTCCGGCGGCCGGTCCTCCAACTCCGTCGCGCGCAACGAGAGCGGCGACATGGGGCCCTTCATTGCTACGAAAGAGCTACACGAAACTCGCCTCGAGGAATACCTACGAAAGAAAATAAAAGAAAATACAAAAACGGAAAATAGCCTAGAAGCTAGTTTTACGTAGGCGCGGCTTTGACCTATGCGTAGCAGGGAGGGTGTCCTAACGTGGATCCCTCCATCTGGAGCCGATTCGGAGAGCCGGAGCGGAAATCCGCACCGTGCTTCTAGTGGAATGGGAATCGTAGCGGCTGGTTAGTTACTGCAAACAGCACTCGATGGAGCTACACGAGTGTTTCTGGCTAGGGTAGGAGGAGAAGATGACGACGGGGGACACGATTGCTTGCGAGCACGCTCTGGCAGTTTAGCGAGTGTTGCACGAGCACAAGTGGCGTCGCACGAACACAATTGGCGACACACGGCGACCTGGAGACGGCCTTATCTACATGTAACGAACAGCCTACCGCATGCAGCTCGAGAATTGAGTCGCCTGTGAAATGACTACACGTAACCGCCGGTCACTACTTATGTCTCCCTCGTCAGCTCTCGTTTCGGCGTGAGATCCTGCTGCTGCAGCGAAAATTACGGAACGATGCGTGATATGACGTCATGCCTCCTCCGCTTCATCAGAATACGGTCCTTCAATCTTCGGAACAGTCCTCCACGCAGGCTCGTTTGCTATGTGAACAGCCTAACTGCTGTTGACAAAGAATTCGGCCAGAACAGCGGATTTTGACAAGCAGCAATGTGTGGAAGTCTCGAGGACTGGAACGAAGATGAAAGCTCTCAAAGAGAAGACAGAAGGCAGATCAATTGAATCAAGACAACGGTTGAACGGTCACATTGGAAGAAAAGAGCGCAACGGCACAGGAGGCAAAGAATTGCGTGAATGCTGGCGGACCTTGGAATTCGGACGTCACTTGGCGCGAAACGGTCGGGTTGTACTAGAAACCCTTTCGCGTGCAGCAAACATATCCCTGAACTGAAACTGAACCCCATCATGTATTATGGTCTGACTTTCGATCCTGAGCTTCCTTCAGAGACAACAAAGGGGTTCATATAACTTTTCCGCTTATGCTCCTATCGTTTTACTGGCCTCATCTGTAAGCACTTCGACAGTCAATGGAGCAAGGGTGTTCAGAAAAACAAAAGCGGCGTCCATCCGCCACAAAACAGACCTCGTCATTGTGATGTCAGAATCTCTGATGCCTACACCCTGAATGAACATCTTCACATCATTGTGCAAATGATTCCTTATTGTGATACTTAAATTTGATCAAGAGCATGGTCTATCACTTCAGCCAGACATTAGTCATAACATACACCGATAAATATATCTCAAGGTATTTCGAGAATTTATGTTGGATTGTTGAACCGATCCTCTTCTCATAGTACGTTTTTGCAAGCCGACCTACACCATGTTGCATCACGCATCGATGTGCACACCACACTGTCAAAGTAACTATTTAGGAGGCATAAGCTTAGGAGGAAGGCTTGAAGCTAGGAGATGGCATCGAGAGGTTTTGGCAAAGAAGAGGGGGTTCACTATAGAATTGGAAGTACAAGTAGGCAAGAGCAAATGGATAAGGTGCACCACCAACGGTTGATTCTAATAGCTAACAAATACACTAGCAAGCTGTAGACAGGTATAAGATATATAATTCAACACACCCCCGTAACTGTCTACGGCTTTAACTAGTGGTGTCTGACACCAGGTCGCCTGGAGAGCGGTTGCTGTAGCTGGGATAGGCACAGAAACAGCGGTGGCTGACCGGCAGCACCTGTGAACGCCAGAACGGAGGAGGGCGCGGAGGGCGCGGAGGAGGGCTGGGATAACCGGAGGGCGTAGGATGCTGGTGATTAACACCAACCGTTGGATAGGAGGAAGTTGGTGGCGCACAGGTGGAGAGTCGATAAGAATCGGCTGGAGGAGCAAACAAGCGGAGGAGGAGGCGGCTGGAGGAGAGGAGAGAGGAGAGGAGAGGAGAGAGGAGGAGGATAGGAAGTGCAGCGGAAGGAGGAGGAGAAGGGGAGGCGGCTGCCTTCAAATACCCGCCACCCCCACACCCTCTTCCCCCCCCCCCCCAAACGCGGCACGCACTGGAGATGCACGGGCAGCGATGAGGAGGAGTAGTAGGGAGGGGCGGGAGGGTTCAAGGGGGCTTAAGCACCCCCGTAGCCGCGGGCGCGAGCCCCGCCACCTCCCCCCCGCAATGTCCACCGTAGAAAAGAGAGGCGGCAGGTGCGGAAGCGGGGAGCGGGGTGGCGATGGCGGGGGTGCTGACGGCCGCTGCTGGCGCTGGCGCTCGCGTCCAGGGCTGGCGCATGTCGCTGGCGCTGGCGCAGGTGACCGTCGCAGGCGCTGGCGCTGACGATTGCGACAGTCGCTGGCGCTGGCGCACGGCGCTGGCGATCGCGCAGGCGTCCGCGACGGTTGGAGGCGCTGGCGCTGGCGTCCGCGACCAGCGGCGGGGCGACGCGTCAGCGCGTGGGACTGGGCGACGAGCGCGTGGGGCGGGTAGCGCGGTGCGAGCAGCGCGGGGCAGGCAACGGACGAGCGCCTCGAAGGGCGCTGCGATGGTCGCCATGGCAGCAGCCATGGCGAATGAAAAATAATAGGGAGGTCCTTAGAAGGACCCAGCTCTTAATACCATGTCAAAGTAACTATTTAGGAGGCATAAGCTTAGGAGGAAGGCTTGAAGCTAGGAGATGGCATCGAGAGGTTTTGGCAAAGAAGAGGGGGTTCACTATAGAATTGGAAGTACAAGTAGGCAAGAGCAAATGGATAGGGTGCACCACCAACGGTTGATTCTAATAGCTAACAAATACACTAGCAAGCTGTAGACAGGTATAAGATATATAATTCAACATCATTGTGATGTCAGAATCTCGTCATTGTGATGTCAGAATCTCTGATGCCTACACCCTGAATGAACATCTTCACATCATTGTGCAAATGATTCCTTATTGTGATACTTAAATTTGATCAAGAGCATGGTCTATCACTTCAGCCAGACATTAGTCATAACATACACCGATAAATATATCTCAAGGTATTTCGAGAATTTATGTTGGATTGTTGGACCGATCCTCTTCTCATAGTACGTTTTTGCAAGCCGACCTACACCCTGTTGCATCACGTATCGATGTGCACACCACACTTGCTTATGATATTAAGCATCTGGGACATTATATTCACAGAATAAATCTGCATTCATACTCAAAATATTGGCAAAGATGCTTGGTTTGGAACAAAGCGAATGTTCGGTATAAAGGGAAATTATGCATATCATACCGTATGTTCTTCGTCCACAACGAAACTCAAGCCTAGAGAAAGTTTGTCTTTCTCACCCCTCTAGACCCACTCCCCCATCTCCAACCCAGCACCCTGTTGACGGGAAATGGCCCCGCCATCGCTTGGGCGAAGACGACTTCGCAGTCGGGTTTGTGATAAGTGCGGCCGACTGCCCGCAGAAGTCAACGTCGACTGCCCCCAGAAGTCGACGTTGACTGCCCGCAAAAGTCGACGGCGACTGCCCGTAGAAGTCGACGTATACTGTCCGCAACAGTCGACGCCGACTTAGGCAAGCAGGTCGACCAAGTTGTCTGGTCGACGAGGTTTTGCGGAGGAGTTGGTCGAGCAGACCTTGCTCGACGGGATGCAGTCGACATCGCCGACAGAGGATGCTGGTCGACGAGCCCGTAGAGAGGTACTGGTCGACGAGGCATATCGAGGAGTGCTGGCCGACGGGCTATAGAATTGGAAGTACAAGTAGGCAAGAGCAAATGGATAAGGTGCACCACCAACGGTTGATTCTAATAGCTAACAAATACACTAGCAAGCTGTAGACAGGTATAAGATATATAATTCAACACACCCCCGTAACTGTCTACGGCTTTAACTAGTGGTGTCTGACACCAGGTCGCCTGGAGAGCGGTTGCTGTAGCTGGGATAGGCACAGAAACAGCGGTGGCTGACCGGCAGCACCTGTGAACGCCAGAACGGAGGAGGGCGCGGAGGGCGCGGAGGAGGGCTGGGATAACCGGAGGGCGTAGGATGCTGGTGATTAACACCAACCGTTGGATAGGAGGAAGTTGGTGGCGCACAGGTGGAGAGTCGATAAGAATCGGCTGGAGGAGCAAACAAGCGGAGGAGGAGGCGGCTGGAGGAGAGGAGAGAGGAGAGGAGAGGAGAGAGGAGGAGGATAGGAAGTGCAGCGGAAGGAGGAGGAGAAGGGGAGGCGGCTGCCTTCAAATACCCGCCACCCCCACACCCTCTTCCCCCCCCCCCCCCAAACGCGGCACGCACTGGAGATGCACGGGCAGCGATGAGGAGGAGTAGTAGGGAGGGGCGGGAGGGTTCAAGGGGGCTTAAGCACCCCCGTAGCCGCGGGCGCGAGCCCCGCCACCTCCCCCCCGCAATGTCCACCGTAGAAAAGAGAGGCGGCAGGTGCGGAAGCGGGGAGCGGGGTGGCGATGGCGGGGGTGCTGACGGCCGCTGCTGGCGCTGGCGCTCGCGTCCAGGGCTGGCGCATGTCGCTGGCGCTGGCGCAGGTGACCGTCGCAGGCGCTGGCGCTGACGATTGCGACAGTCGCTGGCGCTGGCGCACGGCGCTGGCGATCGCGCAGGCGTCCGCGACGGTTGGAGGCGCTGGCGCTGGCGTCCGCGACCAGCGGCGGGGCGACGCGTCAGCGCGTGGGACTGGGCGACGAGCGCGTGGGGCGGGTAGCGCGGTGCGAGCAGCGCGGGGCAGGCAACGGACGAGCGCCTCGAAGGGCGCTGCGATGGTCGCCATGGCAGCAGCCATGGCGAATGAAAAATAATAGGGAGGTCCTTAGAAGGACCCAGCTCTTAATACCATGTCAAAGTAACTATTTAGGAGGCATAAGCTTAGGAGGAAGGCTTGAAGCTAGGAGATGGCATCGAGAGGTTTTGGCAAAGAAGAGGGGGTTCACTATAGAATTGGAAGTACAAGTAGGCAAGAGCAAATGGATAGGGTGCACCACCAACGGTTGATTCTAAT